TGATCACTAGTTCCATACAATATAACAGATACATCGTCGACATTCGCCGAAGCACACACTACATCAATCACTTGGTTTGATCGCTTTGATGTGGGCTGATTGACCTTACCTATATTCAAATGAAAATCAACGCATATATGAGCATATGAATTTCTGAATTCCTGAGTTCATATATATACACATATATGAGCACATGAATTTCTCAGTTCCTGAGTTCATATATATACACACATATATGAGCACATGAATTTCTGAGTTCCTGAGATCCTGAGTTCCTAACTTCAAATATATTTACACACATATATGAGCACATGAATTTCTGAGTTCCTGAGATCCTGAGTTCCTAACTTCAAATATATTTACACACATATATGAGCATATGAATTTCTGAGCTCCTGAGTTCCTAACTTCATATATACGCACATATACACACTTGGTGATTTAATTATCGTTTTAGACTCTCAACATTAGTGCAATTGTCCGAGCTCTGCGAGTGCTGAAACAATCAGATGAACGAGCCTATCATCGGTTACATCAAAGACGTGTGCAGAAAACTATCAACAAACAGAAAAAACCTGAACCGTTCCTTGCAGATCTCGTGAAGCATCCTGATGTGTCGGAAGAAAAACCTTGGGATCGAAGTGTGATGCACCTTCGATATAAATTTGAGAGTGGACCAAGAACTCAGTTTTGTGGCAAAATTTCCGCATGGTGGAGTAAGCATTATCAATATTCCGGCAGTTCAATGAGGAACATCAAAGTTCAGCTAATATCGCAAACGAATCGCGCCTTCGAAAACTGGCTGATTCATAAAAAACCATGTCGAACCACGTGGACTCGAATGCGACCTACGAACAACGGACGCATTGTCAAGAGAACCATCGGCACTGTTCTTTTCTAATCAATCACTTAGATATGCCTTACAATTTCACCAACGCTTCAACTGTCGTCCCCGCACATGAGAGTGCCGTTTAGAATAATCCAACTAACCAATCAAATCCGATGGAATAACCGCATATCGAACACAACAGCAATTCAGAACGCCCAATGCTGAAGCTTCGCCAGAATGCGATGAGATGCGTCGTGTGATGCTTTGATCTGAAAAATCGTATTCTCTAGTCTTTAGGTGATTGAGCCTTCTAGTTCTCCTGATAGATATTCAGTATATTGTGCTGGTTCTTTCGAGAATCATTGTACACATACTTGCCACTTGATTATCTTTATCACCGACAACAGTGAACTACAACCTTGCATTGTAGTTGCTTGTCTCACACCCTCTTTTGGAACCGATGGAATCACGAGGAATTCATTTCTCTGAGCTCCAGTTATTTCAAAATATATAGAGTTCCACAGTCCACTTAATGAGCTCTTTAGCCGGGTCGAAACGCGTCGTGGAAGCTACTGGAAATAGCTTGATTGTGCAGAATTGACTTAGTGCTATATTAAACTCAACCACATCCTCTCCTTCATGACACAGATGGGTAGGCTTTACAAGAAGAATCACTTTGCAGTTCTGGCAAGCTCACATTTCTCAATTTTCGACGAATTCCTTGTAAATGAATGAATTTTTTTCTTAGTCTTTTTGTTAATTGATATTTTTAAAATTTCATCCCTTGAATCAACACGTTGTTTTTTTTGTTTTGCGTCAAAACATTATTGCAAAGTCGAAATGTCGTCAAAATTTTTTACTATCGATCGCAGTTTTACTTTTTACGTATTTTTAGTACGTTATTTCTTCAGATTTTTCAAGGAAGAAACAGCGTACTTACTTCAGAAGTACATAGAAGTACGAAGAACTACAGAAGTACGCTGTTTCTCCCTTGAGATTTTTAGTTATTTCCACAAATGTTGTTAGATGGTAACAAATATAAACGTAACATATGTATGATGCTAGACGATGATAATAAGGAAATCATCAAGAGAGCAGACACTAAAATACCTTTTAATAAAATATCGGATGTAGATGGCTGCACTTCGAAGTCCCTTCTTCAAGGAAAATGTAACCCTCTTAGGCTTATGTAAAAGATTCGATGAACTTGATTATGCACCATTACCAAGTAAATTATATTCTCTTGACGTAAGTAAACTGAGCGATTCCATATCAAATTTGTCTGATTTTTTATCTGTTTTATTCTTCTAGTTTCGTGGTTTAGTGAGTCATTGCCTGACATTAGAACCAAAAGGTCGTCCGGTTATCGCTGAAGTTACTCAGTTGTCAATGACAATGTACAATAAATTCTTGAACGAATCATCGACATCGAGTACACTAACTTCGACAGACAGCAACACATCAGATTCTGGCTTTGGATCAGCATGAATTACTTTGAAGCGGACAGCTCAAGCTTCAACTTATAATTTGTAAGCCAAGATATTCTTTTTAACTCACAGAACGGCCCCTCTAAATAAATGCAAACTCTTTGTCTGCTCGTTCATTCTGCTGTGATTATTAACGTCATTTTTTTTATCTAAAATAGGTTAACATAGCTTTGGTATTCTACTGCGGACGATCGGAAGGACATTTCGTTCATATGATCCTAACTTTAAGTCAAGGGAACAAACGAAACTATTCTTCATTATAACGCCATAATAACAACGATAAGGATGACATTCAATGCCGTCCATTAAGTGGCATCTTTTCAATCTTGAACATTTTTTTGTCACCTTTTCATCATTAATGGACATTCCCAAAACAATCTTGATAAAATTGTTCCGATCTAGTAGACAAGACGCATATCTATTCAATTAGTGATCACAGTTGAGTCACTGCTGACTGAAAGCTGAACAGGATTTTGGGATCAAGTGCTCTTTCGTAAAAAGTTCTTCGAACCGGTGGTTGAATACTCTCTAATACAATTTAACAATAACATTCAGTATCGACATGGGATATAACTCGTCCAAGGACCGAAACTGAACTTTAATAGATACAATATATAAATGTGCAGTTTTGAGTTATTGAGAAGTTAAAGTTCGTTAATTAAGTTTGAAATTAAAGTTTAAGATGGGAATACGGTGGTTAGCTCCTGCAAATTAGTGTGGGCTTCTATATAAAGTAAAAATAATTTGTTTGATGTAGTTTTGTAGATTTCGACGTACACCGAAGTAAGACAGCAAACACATGAAATTATGATTAAAGTACTTAAGTAGTTATGTTTATGCTACTGATGAAATATATCAGTATAATATCAGTTACATTTTCTTGTAATTCATTATACATTTCTTTTGTTTGTCCTAGATATTCTTGATTTAAATCCATTGAATCTAATACAATAAAACGTTTACTATTATCGTGAAGAATTTGTTCATCATTACGGTGTTGAAATATTTGATGAAAACGTGCTTGATCAGGACCACGTATTAGGCAATAAAGGACGGCGGTCGATAAGAGGCAAAATCGGCCCCTTCTCAGATCAAGCTCATATTCACCAGTCTGATGTAGTTTTTCTCGCTGATTAAAACTAGCATCTCAAAAAAACCATTTTCAGCCTCCCTGGAAAAAATTC